GTCGATTAGAATTCACAAACAAAGTGAGATCCTGTCTGATCCTTACTGGAAAATGACGTTGGATGAGGAAAAACTGGTTGCTTTAGATATTTTGATAAGGCAGGAAAGACGAGTGGCTAAGAGGCCTATAATAAATAGGTTAAGGTTAAAACATTTTTTACTGGAGATTACGTGTGGAAAGTTATTTTTCCTATTGATAAAAAAGATAGGAATTTAGGCAAATGATCCTCTAGTTAGGAAGGTCCATTTCGAATCATTCAAGTGTTTTTGAACAATGCTTATGATATGAAAGAGTTAGCATTTGACCGTAAAATCCAGAGAGTAAATGGTAAATATTTGAAAAGATATAAACTTATGCTACATGAAATTTGAATTTCAACAGAATAACATGCATAAAAAATGAAACACCAAAATGGTATTCATAATATGCAAAAATAGCAAGTCACTAAAAAAATTACATATAAGATAATCAAAGTACACATTTAAGCAGGAAATTTAGATTTGAAGTCTTCAAGCTTGGTCTTTGAAAATGTAAGCCTTGTGGTCAAACGATCGCGGGCCTCTTCTAAAGAGTCAACCTTTTGTCCCATAAAAAGATCAACTTCACAGTGTTGACACCCTAGGTAGCTTCTTTAACAATGATATCTCTGGTGGGCAGTGATTTCTCCCATGCGAGCTCAACCTTTTGTTTTTCCAAATTTTCAATTACTTTGGTCAATTCAGCAATCTGGGCGCGAAACTTTGAATTTTTTCGTTGAATTAAGCCTTCTTGTCCAAGTATTCTTAAAGTTGATTTTCAAGTTAATTAAACTCCTTTTTAGAAGCTCTACTTAAGTCTAGCACCACAGCCATAATGTTTTTTATCTGCTGGAGTCAGGTATTGTAGGTCTTCTTGAGGTTGATATCTCGATAAACCTGATTAAACTAAGCTTCAAACTCAAATAAAAATTGGACCATGGAATCTGGAACCCTTTGTTTGTTAAGTTTAGACAACAATTTCTAATGTCGACGCCAAGTTGAGCATCTCCTTTGACGACATTAATGGAATTGTTTCAAAAATGTTAGCTTACAGATGTTGGATCAAGAGGTTCACCGAGCCTTCACTTACATCAGCCAGTGATGCATCAAAAGAGTTGAAAGATCTTATTTCGGTCGAGAGCCTATGTAGTTTTTGGAGTCTCCTCATGGCTTATGTAGGAATCTTTCTTTTAATGGCCAAAATTTCTACTTGGCTCATTGAAGTGTTGGATGGCGAATCTTGAATGATAAGATGAGCTTGGTTCTCTCCGACAGTGGTAGGTCGACCCTCTTCTTCTGTTGGAGCAGTCTCGATATCTGGAACAACTTCTTCATCCATTTTCCTAAAGCTCTTAGTTTATGGATCATCCAGAGACAAGTTGCCATGTATAAAAGAAACGGTCTTGTCGAATTCTTCATTTCATTGGGGGAGAAAGTTGGTTAACATCATCCTCTGCTTCAGGATTTGGTTTTGTAGAAGCACCTGCATTTTCATCAAGCGGTTTGTTCTCTAGATGAACAGACGAAAGGCTTGAGTCAATAAAATCTAACCATTGGTTGTGAGAAAAAGTTTCAGTGGGAGTCGAACGTGGGATTCTTGCCAATTTGTCCACCACATTCTCATCTAAATGTGACGGTCCCTAAAAAGTAAAGGAGTGGTTATTTGAAGTTGGATAGAATCGAGAAATCAAAGTTTCCTAAAATCATTATGTAGAGCAACACCTTGGGTTTTCTGTTATATACTTTGTCATAAGAAATAGACAAAATTTCTCCTTATTTATTAGAAAGACCAACAGTCGAGTTTGTTGTTTCCTTTGGATGATTTTTTTACTGACGCCTTTTGTCTTGCAGACTCCTAGTTCAGGAGAACCCTTGGGTTTAGGACACGAGATAATCAAAGTTTTTTTTCTATCTTCTGAACTCTCGACCTTGGCCAAGGTTTCAATTAGTTTTGGAGCAACCTGAAAAGTTGATTGGTTAGTTTTACCGAATTATCAAAGCCATGAAATAAGGGAATCATATGCATACCTGTGTCGAGGTAGCTTTTTTGGATTTCTTCTTTTACTTGAGTTGGTGGACGTTGGGGAGTCTGGATCATGTTTTCGATTCTGAAGGAAAATAACATGTTAGAGTCATCTCGAAATTAGCTAATATACATATCAAAAAAGACACCACTACGAAAAACATATGCAATAACGGTTGGAAAGGGATAACATCACGCGTGACCTGCTATTGTTACGTAGGGTGTGGTTGTATATGCGATAATTATAATCACGATCTTATGGCCATTGTAGAAAACCTGAAAGTGCGCTATATAGGATCACGATTCCTATATCTAACCGTTGTAATTTATTAAAGGTCTCAGGTTCGATTCTCAGCACCGCATCTTTTGGTGTAATATATTATTTTGGACAACGTTCACTATACAACCATATTTATATATTACAACCGTCTTTAAATTATATGCTTTTTTTAAAATAGTTTTTCTGCATTTTGAAATTTTTCCATTTTTTTAACCTGTATTTTTTAAACCATATCAGAACAGAAACAACAATTGTATCATAATGAAGAATTGTATTGTATTACATCAAATCCATAGATTGGATTAAGAAAAAAACATTGTGTATATATTTCATCAAAAGAAAAATGGCACCAAAAAACTACAAATATTATATAATATCACATAATTGTATCTTATAATGTTTTGGTTTCTTTGTCTCTTGGTGTCTTGTCTCTTGGTGTATTGACTTTAAACACCTACAATTTCAAATAATCATACTTGTTAGTAAATATACTTAAAAATAATGACTTACATTAATCAAATTATGAATAAAGAATAAAATACTAATTACTTGTTAATTTTTCCATATGCCTTCATTATGATTGATACGAATAGCGTGCACATCATCTCTATCAACTTTATCATAAGTGGTAGACACTTTTGTTGTGTAAGAGGGAATAGAAGGAATATCAAAAATTTCATCACTACTAGGAATGTCTTTTCCTCGGAGAACGGTTGACCATTTCTCTGATAGGTCCGAAAGGTCGGTCACATAGAAAACTTATTTTTCTTGTGAAGCCATAATGAATGGTTCGGTCAATAATTTGCCTTGCCAAGATTAACCCAGGTGAATCCTAAGTCATCAGTTTGTACGTCATTAATATTATTGGGAACCCACTTTCATTTAAATAAAGACACTCTGAATATAACATAATCAATCTCCCAAATCTCCTCAATAACACCATAGAACGCACTAGATGCCAATATTAGATTCTTATCTTTCAAACTAGAGAAATGCATGGATTCGGTCTCAACCATAACCCCACTATTTTGCATTGTATAACAAAATCTAAACCTAAAGCATGTCGAAAAACTAAAGCATATTCAGTACAATAACACAACTCTAAATCTTAAGCATATGGATAAAACATATGAACTTTGCACGAAACAAACCACAAAATTCAACAACAAAACATAAAGCATATTCAGTACAATAATAAAACTCTAAATCTTAAGCATAAGGAAAAAGCATATGAGCTTTGTAAGAAATGGACCACAAAATCAAACAAGAATGAAGATGGTGAAGATTATAAAAAATTAGGAAGATGAGGAAGAAAGTGAAGTTTGCACGAAACATACCGTACTTCGAAGAAACCAAGAATGAAGATAGCGAAGATTATCAAGAATGAAGATTAAAATGAACGAAGATTGTGAATATGAAGATTTCGCTATCGCTATCGATGTCGTCTCTGATTCGCTGGTTCGCTAGTTTGCTTATGGCATGTTATGAAGGAAATTGTTCTGGACTAGGACAGAGGTTGACCCATCGTCAGGCACGGCCCAACTCAGGTCTTCGTCGGGAAGGGTCTAAAGGAAGGTTCAATCCATCAACTCACAGGGGGGACGCTCACGCGTCTCCCCCATGGTCTCCACGTGCTCCCCACACGGGGACACGTCATCAGCCAACTACCCGCGTCCGAGAGAACCAGTCCTCCACCTTCCGAAGATCACGAAGCAGTTGGACCAGGATGAAGATCACGTACTGGTGTTCCCTACGCCATGTAGATGCTGACAGTTATTGATATTGGGCCTAATGATCCAGCCCAATGCAAATGACCGTTGGCCCAGTGTTGGGGGCACCTTATAAATACCCTCTTTCACTAGAGGATCGTATTCGAGTCACAATCTAATTTTCGGTACTTGTTTTTCTCTTACTTTAGCATCGGAGTACCTTGCAGGTACACCCCCTCCTCTTCTCCACCACCGGTGAATTAGGAGCTCACGACGTGTTGCTGGTTGCTGATCACTTTTTGGTCCAGTAAAATCAGAAATAATGAATCTATTTTGTTTTAAATTTAATAGAAAAAAATTTAATCATGGTTGATATTTGTACCGTAGTAAAATGTAAATATTATTAACGGTTGTAGACTAAATACATCTTATAACACCATTTGTTTTATAAGTATTGTGAATTGGAATGTAAGATATCAATAAAACCATTTGTTTTATAAGTATTGTGAATTGAAGAATAAAACTATTGTGAATTGAAGAGTTATTTTCTCTCTAAAAGTAAATCAATTATATATAAATTCTTTACGAATGAGTCATTTATCTTCCTCTTGTTTTAGATTTGTTTACATTAGATGATTTTATTGTTTTACGCCATATATTTGAATTGTTATTGTTCTGTGTCCCTAATATCATAATTCTCAAAGAAAGTATTAGTATTGTTGGATTTCCAACAAAAAGCTCTTAGTGTTGTTTAATTAAACCTATTAATTTCACAACATTTTAAAAATATGAATGTCATTCCAAATAAATTTACTCAAATTCAAACGTTTATTTTTTTATTTAATACATTATACTAACACTTACAATAAACGAAGTAGAAACAATATTTTCTTGCAAACAAGTAAATGTAGAACCATAATTTATGGGCAGGATTATAATTTCATCCACCAAATAATACATAAAAAAGAGATTAAATGCTTGTTTCATTAAGTTTCCCTTCTATCCAGTTAACCAACATCTGAAGTGAAGCTTTTGGTTGATCCATAGGAACCAAATGTCCAGCATCATTCACCTATTACACAACACACAAATATAACTAACCATAAATGACATCAACAATGTCAAGACCAAGTAAAATACAAACTATAAACTAACCTTTAGAAAAGAGAGAGGTCCATAGCTATTCAACAATCCCGCTTGTGTGCCATCAACCAAAAATTTAGCTGTTTTGGATGCAGCAAACTGTTTTTGACCTGACCACTCCATGGCATGAACCCAGTTCGAATTCCCTGTCATATGATCGCAAATTAGCATAATAATGTGTGGCATAAAATGTAGTATAATTCTATGATATATCACTCACCAAGCCAATTGCAAATAAGATCGAATTCTCCAACATATATAAGAACCTTGATTCCATCCTCAAGAAGTGCTGGAATATATTTTTCATAGTTTTTCATCAAATCTTGACTCAAAGCACTATGCACTGCTCCGCTGCATGAAACAAACTCTATGTCCCCAACGCCTAAAGCATCCCTAACTGTCTTCTTATTTAAAAGTGTCTCCAGATTTGAGAAATCGTAACACAATGGTCCCTCGCATTGCTTTCTGATGTCATAGTACTGCAATTTTAAATATACAAATTTCGATAAAATTTAACTTGAAATTTACTTAATACATTTAGTTTTGTTCGGTTATGATTACTTACATTAATGTTGCCTGCAGCGGAAAGAATGCTGGAAAATATCTGTTCGCATTGATCTGAGGCTGTATTGCAACTATCTCCACCTTCACTCTCTAGAAATCAAACATAAACTATAAAAAAAAATAATATCATAGAAAAACCATAAAAAAAAATAGATGTGTAACGGATTATGTACCGCAAGTTTTTGTGGCATCCACGCAAGATGGGACCAACTTGTCGATATCAGCTTTATCTTCCTTTGTAATCAATTTGTTATCAACCGCAAATTGAGTGTATGCTTGATATTGAATTAATGGATTGGTCAATCCATTGCCAATAGCAAAACCCTGTTATTGTATATGAACCAAAACATGAAAAAAAATTGTTAAAACAACAACAGAGGCATCAACATGTTGATGATGTAAGGCCTTCGAAGTTTAAAAATTGTGTTTGATAATGAATTTATAAGAGACCTTGAAATTTATGTTAATTCCTTCTTTATTTTTGTTTCCTTTGCTAACCCGAGATGCAAGAGCTGGAATATAGTGTCCCGCATATGATTCTCCGGTAATATAAAATTCATTCTTAACCAATTCAGGGTGTTCCTTGAAAAATGCCTGTATTAATTATAAAAAATCTCAAGTTAATCTTATAATTTATTATACACGGTATATGATATTATGATTCATATCTTGATCACTTTCTGTGATGCTGTTAAATTACTTAGAAGGAAAAAAAAAAGATATTTTTATATACCTGTAAGAAAGCGTACAAATCATTGCTAACACCAGTTTCATCAGTAGGAATATCATTTTCATCTGAACTATAACTGAAACCTGTTCCAATAGGTTGGTCAACAAAAATAATATTTGATCCCTACAAAATCAGAAAACACTTTAGTCAAATAAGGAAACACATTTGGTGTAACAACTTGATTCTACTGGTTAACCAATGTCTTTGGTTTTGCAATGACTCAATATATAAATGTCCTTGGAACATCATAATAATTATTATTATTACCTTGTCCCACCCATATTCATTCCATGAAAGAGACAAATCATTGTTAATTTTGAAAGGTCCATTCTCATAAAACAATGCTAATTCACTTGCACAACCAGGACCTCCGGTCAACCATATCACAACTGGTGCATCCTTAGCACCATTTCTTGATTCAAAGAAAAAATAGAACATCCTGCAATTCAATGAAGAAGCCAAAATTACACTGTTTGTAAATCACAATGAGAATATGTAAAGCAAAAAAAGAGAGATACGTTTAATAGTACCTTGCAGATTTGGAACGAGGAAGCGAATAGTATCCAGCATGGTGACCAAGATCTTCAATAGAAGTTCCATTAGAACGAGCGAGAAACGAAAACGTCTTCTCTACGATCTTTCCTGGGACGAAATCATCAATAGAGTATTCACCATGTATATTAGCTGAACTCTTTGGAAACAAGTTAAAGCTTCTTATAAGCCGTTCAGCTCGTCGATTTGATGAAAACTTTGTTGTTGGAAATCGTTGTTGAAGTGTGATGCGAGAAGTTGCATGAGATAAAGAAAATAAGATGAAGAACAAGAAAAGAGACAGAGAGGTTTTGGAGAATTCCATGTTGTTTGAAAATTGTTTGTGGAAAAAGTGAGGCAATGGCAGTGTTTTTATAGTATATTCAGAGAGTTTTGAAATGGTTATGTTTTACGGTTAATTTGATTTTATTACAATTATAAATTTGTAGATTTTGATCAATAATATTTAATTTGAATTTAGTAGTAGACTAGTATTCATCGTTAGTTGACTATTGACTCCTAATTCCAGATTATTACTCCCTTATTAACCAACTATAAATAAAAAATATGATAAGGGAATATATAAATCATATACATCAGTTTTTTATTAATTAAAAAATATATAATAAATTATATATTTTTAATATAATTTATATAACTCTTAAATTTTTGGATTAATAAAATAATTAATCTATTTAATTATATAATTTAAATACATCGATTATAATTCAGATACAATGATTACTAATTATTTCATATTTTGTATCAATCTAATATTGGATGACATAACATAATATAGGATAAAGGATAAGTTAATCCTAATCCTAATATAGATTCTATCATGTATTTTTAAAATAAAATTTTTATTTAAAACTTGAGCAGAGTTATAATTAGTATAATAGAATAAAAAAGTTATATTATTTATTTATTTCTATAAAATATAATTTTAAATATAAAAAATAAAAAATTTATGTAATATATAAATAAAAAAATCAAACAATAAATAAATGTTATAATTAATAAATTTATTAAAATAAAAATATTTTAAAAATAAAATTAAAATTTAAAATGGAAACAATAATCATATTTATTAAAAAAATTAAATTGAAAATAATTTTCTTAAAATGAAAATTTTTCCATTTACATATAATATATATCATTTCTTTATATAAAAAATTCAACATATATAATAGTATTACTTATTTATTCATGATTTTTTTCCAATAAATTGAAACATTTTATAAAAATGTTCTAAACATGTTGTATAATTTTTAAAAGATTAATATTATAATTTGATTTCAATTTATATTTTATTTAATTACTATTAAAAATGTATCAAATACGTTAAATGATAAAATATTATTTATCACGTCATTATCATATCACATCCTTCTTCAAATATATATATAATTATCATTCCTACTTGAATGATTTACTTTAAGAAATAATTGTCCTTTAAACAAAATTTGATTTGTTTTCTTCTTTTTTCTTTACCATTACTGTGACATTCTATTTTCAAATATTTTGTTGTTAATTGAGTGATTTATTTTAAGAAATAATTTTCCTTTAAATATTTTTTTTTACCATTACTGTGACATTCTATTTTGAAATATCTTTGTTGTTATCTAGAAAATCTGGTATTGATAATGAATTTGGTCTTAACATGGTGGAGCATTCAATTTTATTGTAATTGGAAAGATATTTTGTAGTGTTTGAACGTGATGGATATTAAAATGCTAATAATGCCAATAAAGCAATTATTGTTAAATTTTTATAGAAAGAATTTATAAGAATCTTAATTTCTGAATTTACTGAACTTAATTATCCGATTCATGAATCAAAAATACAAAACATAAAAGATGTGATCACGGTAAAAAAATAAATAAAAAATCATGTTCAATTCATCACCCGTAATTACTTTAAATATAGTAAAAAACAGTTATATAATTACGATCAATTGTATAAAATATTTTCCATACTTTTAGTGTACCAATTAAGTCTTAGTATTTCTTCTTTTTATAATCAAATTTGTATTGTAAGGGTTGCTAAGGAGATCTTAACCCATCAAACAATTGTCATTAATATCAGTCCATCCAATGGAACAGTCTTACAACTATACAATAATCCAAAAACTTATAAGCAATTTGACCGACATTTGATCAATTCGTAAAAATTACACCTAATAGCATGGTGAGAGGTAAGAGTCGGCCACCATAATGTAGAATGCTGGATTCTTTGAAAATTTTTAATAGAGTTAGCAATACCATCATTAAAAATCACTTGATTTCTAGTTCATCATATACTTCAACATGTAGCCAACCAAATCAAACAAGCCGTCGACTTCGAACTTGAGCCTTTTGTTTCCAAAAATCAAGCCAACATATGATCTCCGCAATTTTTATGCTCTATAGGAGAATTCCAACTCACTTCTCTACCTCCTTCCAAACCATTCTCATACGTGGACATGAAACGAAAATGTAATTTTGATCTTCATCCTTATGAAAGCAACATACGCATATCTTGTCATGATGATTTATGATTATGCCTCTCTTTGCAAGATTGTTCCATGTTGGTAATCTATTAACTAACAATCTTCATCCAAAAAGTTTTACTTTTAAAGGCACCTTCGAATGCCATGGAATATCCAATGCAAGCTTGATATTGTCCTCCAAATCACCATGATTGTCTCATAGCAAGAGTTAACTGAAAACATGTTGAAGGCTCCCCTTAGCCATCTAGCAATATTTTCCATTCTGCGATGTGGTTTTACGTTTTCCAGCAAAACCAAAAGTTCTTCGTGTTGATCTCCTTCGCATTCCCTAAGGTCCCACATGTTCACCCTAACATTTTATTTCCACTCCTCACCTTCCCACCTCCCCATGACAGTCATCGCCCCATATTTGAGATTTACAACCTTGTACAGTGTCGAAAATAAAATCTGAAATTTTGTCGAACCTAGCCAATTTGAATTCCAAAATGGAATGGACCCTCCATCCCCCAAGTTCAATGCTAGCTAATTAGTGAAACCAACCTCCTTCCTTACATCTCCAAGCAACATTATATCTTTCCACCATAACAATTTAAATTTTGATCCATCTTGATTTACTTTGAATAAAAGTCTTCTTGCCAAATTTCCATATTTAAATTCTAGGATTCCTTTCCAAATTGCATTTGGTTCATGGATGAATCTCCAAAGCCATTTTGATAACAAAGCTTTATTGAGCACTCCGACATCCTTTATTCCCAAACCTCCACACTTCTTTGGCTTGCATACGGATTCTCAGCTAACCCATGCTATACTTCTCTTATCAGCAGTTCCGGACCACAAAAAGTTCCTTTGAATTCCCATAATTTCTTTGACAACTTTCACATGAACTTTGTAAAAGGATAAATGATAGACTGACAGATTTGTCATCACAGAATTGATAAGAATCACCCTCCCTCCAATTGAAAGCATTTTCCCTTTCCATGTTGACAATTGGGATTTGAAGCACGAAATCATCGATTTCCAAAATGCAATCCTCCTATGATTACCTCCAATTGTAAGTCCTAAAATTTTAAAGGTGAGCATACCAGATCTACATGCCAGAAATTAAGCAGTCGCCCCCATGAATGTATCCTCGACTCCTATGTCATACAAACATCTTTTCCAAAAATTGATTTTCAAGTCTGAAATCATTTTGAAACCCCTTAGCACACCTTTAATGCCCCATAAATTAGACCAAGAACCCTCACACCAATAATTGTATCGTTGACAAACTGAAGTAGACTAATAGAATTTTCACCATTTAAGTTGACTCCCTTCAACACATTTCTACTGATCGCCCTTCTCACAATATGTACCAACCCTTCCACCACTAAGGTAAACAAAAATGGAGACAAGGGGTCTCTTTGTTTGAGAACCCTGGTAACCTCAAAATCTCTTGTTGAGCTTCCATTCACCAAAACTGAAATAAAACTATTTAAAACACCACCTTTCATCCAATGTAATCATTTTCCCTCAAAGTTCATTAATATCATCACCTTTTCAAAAAATTCATGTTCGACACAATCATAAGCTTGAGCAAAGTCCACTTTGAATAACAGTCAAATGCTATTGTTTATTTTAGCATAATCAATTAACTCATTCACCACGATAATGCCATCCAAAAATTTTCTCCCAGGTATGAATGTGGTTTGGGTAATAGAAATCAATCTTCCAATAACTTTACTTAATCTAGCCGCCCAAATCTTTGATACGATCTTATAAATACACCTAAAAAGGCTAATGGGTCGGAATTCATCCAGTCCTTGAGGGTTGTCAGATTTATGTATCAATGTCAAAAAAAGAAGAATTGATGGCTTTACGTACCGGTCAAGTGAAACTCTTGAATACAACTAACCACGTCTCTGCCAACCACATTCCAACAAGGTTTTAGGAAGTCCAGACCAAACCCATCAGGCCCCGAACTTTTATTAAGTCGGAGCTATCTAATGCTTCTAAAACTTTAGCGCTGAAGAAAGGCTCCTGCAGGATTTCCTTTTCTTCTATAGCTAACTTAGGCAATCCGTTTAAATCCAACGTAGGCCTGGGCAAAACTTTGCTCTTGAATCTTTCCATGAAAAACTCTATAACTGTCTTCTTTACCGTGTTAACATCGTCCACCCATCTTGAACCAATTTTCACAGAGGAAATGTTATTGGATCTAGATCTCTATTTGAGTAAAGAATGATAATATTTTTAATTCATGTCGCCATCCTTCACCCACTTAATTCTCAATTTGTCTCAATATGCTTTCTTTGAAATGAAGTTTATTCCAAATCTCTAGTTGAGCTTTACTCATCCTCATTAAATCTTCCTCTAAGATCAATTCTCCCATGTCTGACATATTTTGTTCAATACCATTAAGGATATAAACCTCCTCATCGATCCTCAAATCCACCCATCCAAATATGTTTTTGTTCCACCATGGAAGCTTCTCTTTCATGTGCTTAAATTTTGTAGCAAGAATCGGGCCTGCACTGCCCGATGCTTGAAACGATTCCCACACTTCTTTAACAAAGTTAATGAACTTAGGATGTTCAAACCAACATTGGAACATCTTGAAGGGTTTATGCCCTCAATCATCGTTGTTTGATCTGAACCAAACTGGTATATGGTCTGAAACGTCTCTATCCTCTTACTTCTGAATCATTCTCTTGTGACTGGAATTCTCCATCCCAAACTTCTTAAATATATTCTTGGCATATTTACTCTGAGATAGGAATATAGAATCTTCCATCTGTTTGACTTGCAACCCACGAAAATAGGTTAATTCACCAACAAGGCTCATTTCAAATTCTGAC